AGTTCATTTTTCTAAAAAAAAATCAAAATTAAAACAATAGTTTAAGAACTTCTAAAACATATTCTTGAACTTATTTTTTAATAATTCAGCACACAAAATACTCATGATTTATTAAATATAATTTATCATTTATTATATACATATATATCACCTTTAATTATAAATTATATTTTAAATATTTAACTGTAGATAATTTTTTTCAAAACATAATAACTAGACGCTAAATAACTCAAAACAAATCCAACTAAGTAATCCATTTAATTTCATTTTATGAAAATTGTTTAACATATAATAAATTAAATGAATAAATATTTATTTAATGTTATAATATGTTTGAATTAATTTAAAACATTACTATAAGATTTAGTTAATTATTTATATTATTTTAATGTTATTACATTAATACAAATTGAGAAATTTCAATTAGAAGCTTATTAAAACATATACAAGTAAACAATATATTCACTTTCTTGTAGGCGTGCGTCTCACTGTTAGGTTGATTAGAACACCATGGTCGAATGAGATGCAGGAGTTGATAAATTATATTAAAAAATTATTTTTTTTGTATAAACGAAAATCTTATGAAAAATCATAGATACATTTTCACAACAAAAATATAAGAGACTTCCTTAATTTTTATGATTTTGTCAACAATTAATATTTAAGCGTTCATCATTTTTTATTAGAAATAAAGCTCAATATTTATTTTCTTAATCTGTTCAATAAATGTATTAAGAAATTTTTATTACAATTTCAAAATTTTTTGATTAACAAAATTATTTTATCGGCATTTTCATTTATTGCTAAAAATAATATGAAAATTATAATTTATAATAAATAGTAATATAAGTGTTCATGAAAATGTTATGTCTAAGATTATTATTATTTAGTTATGATGTGAACAAGCTTACGATATTTTTTATAAATTTTCAACGGCCTTTCATAACTATATAAGAAAACTGTTGAAACACTTGTAAAATAACCCGTGTAACAATACCAATTACACAACATTTTCTTTCAGAAATCGGTTATAATGTTGATAATTAGAAAAATCCTCTTGGTCTAAAACATGTAAAAAAATATGTTAAAAAAAAATAAAAATAAAAATAAATAAATAACAGTCAGGTAAACTATCCCTCATTTCACTTAGAATTAATCTGATATTGTACAAACGAATCACGTTTTTGTCTAGAAATGTAAAATACGACTTTAAATTAATTGGAAAGATATATATTTACACAAAGAGATAGATTCAGATTAACTTAACAAGAATGATGTATTTTCTACATATATATACATACTTCATTTTATTTATTACTCTCTAATAAATGTTCATAATGTTTAACACTTTATGAAATCATTTGCAATGAAATAAACTTGTAGACAAATTGCTTGAACTTTAACTACGTTTACTCTGTTAATCTTATATAATATGTAGTACTACTTTTATCTGTGATCATAATTACAAAATATAAAACAATTTTATATTAGAATGTTACCTACATACATATTTGTATTAAGTTCATTAAATAACAGAAAAAAGTTCAAAATGCATCCAAAAGGGGAGACTGGGGACGAAAGTAACACGGGGCGAAAGTAACATGCTCAATTTCTTACTCCATGATAATTATTTAAAACCAGTATGTAGTGTATCATTCGTACCATTATACTGGGTATATTTGCACATATTTGTTTTGTAATAGTTCCATTCTTCTTATCACAAAAATAATAGAAACTAATATCGCCATAAAAAAGTGATAATAAAATTGTTAACATTTTTTTTTTTTAAAAATTCAATTTTTACACTAGAAGAACACTTAATACATTTACATCTGTCAAAAGTTGTCTTTTTTTCTTTGGCAAGTATTAGAAAGGTTGAATCAGGTATGTTTTATATTTTTTTAATCTATCCAAGAAAAAATGTCTGTATGGGGTCGAAAGAAACAAATTTTATGGGGTCTGAAGTAACACTATGTAGCACCTACTAATTTTATTTTTCTTATGAATTCATTTTCATTTATTTAAGTATTTTACTAGTATAGCTTACAGACATGCCACGTACACGTAAAATAATGACTCAGAGAGGAAAAATTGCAGACAGTGAAATTAGAAAAGCAGTAGACATTTGTTTACAAGAAAATCAGTCTATACGGTCAGTAGCTGCAAGTTTAAATATTTGCCAAGTCAGTCTAAGTAGATATATAAAAAAATTAAAACTACATCAAGATAAAAGTGGTCCTAAACCAGTGTTTGGATATCGAGCACATAATTTAACAAATTTCAAGAAAATCAACTTGCTGATTATATTAAAAACTCAGCAGACATATATTTTGGGCTATCTCCTATAGGTATTAGAAAATTAGTTTTTGATTTTTCTCTGAAACTAAATTTAAAAGAACCAAAAACTTGGACTGATAAAAAGCAGGCAAGAATTGATTGGTTTTCGGTCTTTTTAAAAAAAAATTCAAAACTATCCATTCGCCAGCCAGAAGCAACAAGCATATCAAGAACTATGAATTTTAACCAATGTTAAATTATTCATGGTTAAATATGAATCTGTTATATTGAATTTTGTTTGAATTTAATATGTACCTAATTGCTAATGTAATTGATTTTGTTTATAATATTGTATTATACTATTACCATACATGTTACTTTTGGTACTTGCAAGGGATCGAAAGAAACATTTTTTTTTTATTGTTTTTTAAATATCTTAAGGTTTAAATTAAATTTATGAAAATATTATAATATCATTTGAAAGTTATTAACTTGTTCTATCAAATAGAAATAGTTTTATCTGAAAATTACAATTAGTTTTTTTTTAAATTTATAATTAAGTGAAAAATGTTACTTTTGTCCCCGGTCTCCCCTACTTCTTCCCATACTCTACCATGGTTACTTATGTGTACTATTTTAGTCTATAGATTTTCATGAATATTTTAGAAATTTCAACAAGTTATGTTGTATTTTACTAAGTAATCGACCATCATAAATTCTTTTGAAATACTTGAATATTTTTTGTTCATTTTTTTCTGAAAATAATTATGATTGTGATTTTTAATTACTATTAAAGAACTAATTAATTTGGATACTTAGTTTTTGATTGATGATAATATACCTCATCAGATCACTGACTTTTTCAATTGACATATTGAACGACTAAATCCCTCTAAAATTACCAATTAGTTTTTTGGAAATTTTTTCATGGAACACATTACATATGATTTTTTTTAGTTAAACAAATATTATTAAATGACCATAATACGGTACAGAAATGGAATGACAAATTACTGAGAATATTAACAAAATTATTTCCGATTTTATCTAGTTAATCCTGTCCTAATCATATTTGACAATACAAAATATTTAAAGCACAAAAATAATCCGATAAATTATCTCATTTATATATATTAGCGTGTTAAATTGGTGGAAAGATTAATTATATCTCCTATATTTTATTTTACGTTTGAAATACATACATATGCTAATTTATTATTTTTAAAATAATATCATTACGTTTGTTTTATTTTTTTTAAATATTAGCCAATATATATATATATAAAGTATTAGTATCTGTTTTTTATAGTTCTATATAACAAGGTTTAAATTCGCAAGTTTTAAGATGTTGGCCACATTGTATTGTATTTGTGTTAAACTGTTAACCTCACTTTTATTATAATTCATGTTTTCTATTAATCTTATTCTGTTTTATAAGTTTATGCGTAACATTGTTATACGATGTAGAATAAAGGATACATACTTAATAAAAAATGAATAATTAAGTTTTGTCATTAACTCACGACATTACAAATGGCGAAGAGATAATGCATTCAAACACAAATCGTCAATCTAATTAAAGGCTGTAACTAGCAAGAGTCTGAAGACAGACAATCGTCAAGGTGACATACCACGTGCAGCAAAATAAGGTAGTTCAAAGAGAACACAACCAAAAGATGACGGGTGTTATTGGATCATTGGCGGAGGTCCAAATGAATGGAGACTAGTCAATTTATCAAGAAAAATTGGAATTTTTTCTTAGTTAATACAATACCGGAGGAATGCAAGGTACCGTTGTTAATTACATGTATTGGGAAAAATACTTACAAGACATTTAATGATTTGTGTAACCCTATAATGTCATTCTAAAGATCGTATAAGGAATTATGTGCTGTATTAGAGAGGTAGATATCTCCTAAAGTGTCAGTCTTTAGACTAAAGTGACAGCGGGAAAAATTTAAGACAAAATTCAAATGTAGACGTAAAGGATTGGTAAGCAAGAATAAAAAATTCGGCAACAACATGTAAATTTGGAAAAGGATTAATTGATGTTCTTAGGGACAAGTTTATAACGGGTATGAGAAACGGACAAATTAAAGACCGGTTATGTGATGAAGATATATCTAAAGAGCTAAACAAAATAGTAGAATTAGCAATGCAGAAGAAGTAGCTATGCAACCAAAAAGTCCAGTGGAAATACACAATTTAAAAAAATGGAACAGATCAAAGGATGTCAAGAAGAAAGTTGGAGCATCAGAATATGGGCAAATAACAAATAAAAAAAACCCAACAGACTTTTCAGACAACAGTAAAGGATCAAGTCAAGGTCAGGTCAAGGAAAATGTTTCACATGCGGCTTAAGTAACCATACGTTTAGTAATTTTAAGCATAAAACTTATAAATGTAAAATTTGTAATAAAGTAGGATATTTAGCTAAAATGTGTAAAAATAAATCCAAAAACCATTATGTAGAAGTAGAAACTGAGTCAGAATTAATAGAAATGTTTCAATTAAAAATAGGCTATCAAAAAAATGTAGAGCCATATTTTATAAAAATTAAAATTGAAAAAATACAAATAGACATAGAATTAGACTCTGGGGTAGGAAGATCTATAATTCCTTTTAAATTGTATAAAAAATATTGGTTTACATTAAAAGTTATTCCAAGTTTAATTAAATTAAAAACTTACAATGGAAAAATAAGAAATCCAGTTGGAGAAGTTATGGTTGATATGGAATATAAGAATAAGAAGGAACAATGTAATTTACTAATAGTAGAAAATGGATGTAGAACTCCATTAGGAAGAGATTTAATGAGTTTATTTGGTATACAGTTTGTGGATATATCAAATATTACAGTAAATAATTTAGATTTTGGTGTAAAAAAATTATTAAAAAAATTTGAGGAATTGTTTAAAAATAAATTAGGAAAGTATAAATATGAAAAATTACCTTAAAAATAAAAGAAGGAGTAAAGTCAGTTTTTTGTAAACCAAGGTCTATTCCATTTGCGTATATTAAAAAAGTTGAAAATGAACGTGAGCATTTGGATAAAGAAAATGTGATTGAGAAAGTGGAAGACGCCCAATGGGGTACACCTCTGATGCCTGTGATAAAGCCAAATGAGACAGTAAGATTATGTGCAGATGATAAGACTACTATAAATAAGCATTTAGAAGATTATAACTACCCATTACCGAAAGTCAAAGAACTATTTATAGCTTTGCAAGGAGGAAAATTTTTTAGTAAGTTAGATTTTATAAACGCTTATAATCAATTAGAAATATGTGAAGATACTCGAAAGTTATTAGCATGGAGTACACACAAATGTCTATATAAAGTAAAGAGATTGCCTTTTGGAACAAAACCGGCTTGTTAAATTTTTCAGCAAGTAATCGAAAAAGTCCTACAAGGTTTAAAAAGTGCAAAGAATTTTTTGGATGATATCATTGTAACAGGAGTAGACGATGAGGATCATTTGAACAATTTGAGAGAAGTTTTTAAGTGATTACTGGATTCTGGTTTTAAACTAAATGTGAATAAACTAGTGATGGGAACAATCGAGAGATTAGTAATCGAGAAGATTTAACAATCGAGAGATTCACTCGAAAAAAATCTCTTGGTTAGTACTTAGTTGATAGTAACTATTTACTGATTACTGAATAATAATTTAAAATTCTAGTAAGTAGTACCTAGTATAATATTATATTATGAAATCGCTCGTTCGTTTGAATAATAAGTACGTTGTATTACTTATAATAAATACATTAATCATAATACGTTTTAATTGTATACCATATTTTAATAAACCATAAAATTAAACATGTCGTATTTTTTTGGAAATATTTTAGTTTATTATCAACTTCATATAAATAAAATAAAACTACATCCTTGTTTAAAATAATAAAAATTGATACTTATTAAATCACTTAATATATAGAAAATAAAAAAAAAACGTTATAAAGTAAAAAAAAAATTAAAAAAATGTTTAAATTGCTGTTTAAAAATATTATTGTGACTAAAAATGGATAAAAACTAAAATAAAATATAATATCATACCATTAAAATTTGTCAATTTTAAACTACTACATTTGTAATATTAAATTTAACTCATTCACTATAACAAGCAGTGATTAAGAATTTGAACTGTTGGATTCAACGATAAAATACATCATCAAATTTTTAAACTTTAAAATATGTTATGTATTATAATTTTAAATAATCAAAACTGGGTATTGGGAGTTAGAATACCCAATCTAATTATTATTTCTGATATCTCAATAATAAATTAGTACCATTTTATTCGCTCATAAACGTGTTTCGGATGTTTAAAAAGGAAGCGAAGACACAGAAAAAAACAAAAATATCAAAATGTTTTACAATTTTTCATTTTTATTTTTGTCATAATTCGATTACAAATATTTTGGGTATGATGAGTGAAGAGTAGAAACAAAAAGTAATCTAGTACCAAATACCTATTAGTTAAATGTTATATTATCTTAGACCTTATCTAACCTAACCAGCACTTTTCGCTCGATTACTTCAACTGATATAGGATTTTGTTACCGAGAGAATAACTCGGAACTAAACGAGTGTACGAGTAATCGAGCATTTTTCACTCGATTATTTCAACTGATTTTGATACCGAGAGAATCACTCGATGATTTCCAAAACAATTGAGAACAATTGATTACATCGAACAATCGAGTATTTCGAGTATTTTCTCTCGATTGTTCCCATCACTAGAGTAAACGTTGTTTTTTTTTAAAAGCAAGTAAATAATTTAAGATATGTAATTGATGGAAAGGAATAAGAAAAGATAATGATAAAGTAAAAGCTATAGTTAAAGCAAGAATACCACAAAATGTAACAGAGGTTAAAGCTTTTGTAGGTATGATTAATTACTATGTAAAGTTTATTCCAAATTTGTCTCCACTGCTGGGTCCTATGTATAAGTTATTAAAAAAAAAAAATGTAACGTTTAAATGGACAAACAAATATAATGAAACTTTTAATAATTCCAAGGAAGCAATGACATTAGATTCGGTATTAGTACATTTTAATCCTGAAATATAAATAAAACTACTGTGTGTTGCTTCTGAATATGGGGTAGGTGCTGTTTTAGTTTATGTTTTTTCTGACGGAACAGAAAAACCTATAAGTTATGCTTGAAGGGTATTAATGGTAGCTGAAAGAAAATATGCTGTAATATAAAAAGAGGCTCTAGCTAAGAGAAGTGTAGAAAAATGTTCACAATATTTACTAGGCAGAAAATTAATTTCATACTCGGACCACAAACCATTGTTAGCATTATTTAGGGAACATAATTGCATTCTATGCATGGCATTAAATAGATTACAACGTTGGGCTTTATTTTTGTCAGAATTCGATTATGAATTAAAATATATGCAAGGCAAAAAAAAAATTGTGCAGCCGATGGTTTGTCCCGTTTACTATTAGAAATAAAAAGTGATGAAAATGATAACGAGGTCGATTATATAAATTTTGTGGAAGGAATGATACCTTTAGATTTATTAAAAATTAAAATAGAAATAAGGAAAGATACAATATTAAGTAAAGTTTATAGTTGGATTGAAGATGGGTGGCCAGAAAAAGTTGAGTTAGAATATAAAGATTATTTTATTAAAAAAATGAACTAAATATTGAAAAAGATGTAATTATGTGGGGCTATAGGGTGATTATTCCAAATAAGTTGAGAATATTTTTATTAAAAGAGACACCTAGTACACATGCAGGTATTGCAAAAATGAAAACGCTTACCAGATCTTATTTTTGGTGGCCTGGACTTGACAAAGAAATAGAAAGTTATGTAAAAAGTTGTGAAGTCTGTGTATCATGTCAAGCTAGTCCAATAGTAGATAGGCAAGCTAAATGAGCAGAAGCCGTTGGTCCTTTACACAGAGTACATTTAGATTTTTTGTATTTAAATAACAAAAATTATTTAGTATGGATTAATTCGTTTACAAAGTGGCATGAAGTTATAGAAATAAGTAAAATTAATAGTGTTTATTTAATTGATAAATTGAAAGAAATTTTTGGATGTTTTGGTTTACTAAATAAAATTATTTCTGATAATGGTCCACAGTTTTGTTCTAGTGAATTCATAGAATTTAGTAAACAAAATGGAATTGTATTATATACATTACCACCTTTTCATCCAGCTACAAATGGTGCAAATGAAAATTCAGTTAAAGAGGAATACAGAAAGCATTAAAAAATAAATAAAATAAAAATGTGACTGTGAGTACATTAATAAACAGATATTTATTCATGTATAGAAACTTACCACATTGGACAACAAATGAATTTCCAGCAAAATTAATGTTTGGGTGAAAGTTAAAGACTCGTTTAGATTTTCTATAACATTCAAAGATAAAGAAAAATACTGAGAGTTATAAAAATAAAAATATAAGAAATGAAGTTTTCAAGGAAGGAGATGTAGATTATGCGAGAGATTTTTCTAATTCAAATAAAAAAAATTAGGAAAAGGCAGTGATAGAAGAAATGTTAGGCAACAGAAATTATATAGTTAGACTTGAAGATAAAGAGTTAGTATGAAGAAGACATATAAATCATATAATTAAGTTGGAAGAATTTAGTAAGTATGATGACTATATAAAAACTATGAAAAAGAGTTTTTAGGGAAGTTAAAGAAAAGGAGAAAGATAAAAAAAATACTCGAGTTAAAAATCATAAACGCTAGTGAAGAAGTTAATGAAAAAGGGAAACAAGATATTATAGATGTTAATGTTAATGATAAATTTAGTTTACCAGAAATTAAACAAAAAAACGTTAGGCCTGTTGGAAACAAAAATTCATCTAAACGTTTAGATTTATATTGAAGAAAAATAATTATAAGGGAAATGTATTTTGAAGTTTATTATTAAATAAAAATAAATTGTTTGTTAGTATTTAGTATTATGATTATTTTGTAAAATATTTTAGTAAGATTTATGTGGAGTTCTGTAAAAATATTATGTTTAGTGTTTACTATAAAAATTATATTTTTGAATTAGGATTAAAGATTGTTATGATGTTAGCAACATTGTATTGTACTTGTGTTAAACTGTTAACCTCACTTTTATTATAATTCATGTTTTCTGTTAATCTTCTTCTGTTTTATAATTGTATACGTAACCTTATTATGCGATTTAAAATAAAGGAATACATACTTAAAAAAAAATGAATAATTAAGTTTTGTCATTACCTCACGACATTACAGCAAGGTATTTATAATTATCACGCGAATACTTTGGAAAATGAGGCCATTTAGTTTTAGCCCCTTTTAAGTAAATAATTTGTATTTTCCTTTTGGTAAGATTTATGAAAATGGTAGTTATGACTTGAGCCGGTCAAAATCAATCATAATCAAGTATCGTATCTATAAGAATATCTTTAAAGGTGGCGGAGAGTATACTGGTAGATGTGGTCAAGGGGTAAGTTGTGATGTATATTATCTTCATGATTCTGTAATTTTGAATGAAACATTTGTGAATTTTTAGCGCATAGCTGTTGTACAGTTCGATTTTTAATTAATGTGTCATTAGAAAAAAAAAGGCGCAAGAACAGTTAAATGTAAAGTGATTACATGAAAAGTTGTGAAATATATATTTGTGATGATTTACATACTACCGAATTTTTGTATATCATATGCATGAATTCACAGCTACAAAAAGGGACTTGTAAATAATGTATTTCGTGTGAACTGAAATATTCCATTTAAGAATTGGTAAAAGTAAATTTAGCTATTCGGTCATTTGGAGAGGTTTCCTTATTGATTCGAGATACACGACCAGAGTCAATATTTTATCAAGTAAACATTAATTTTTATATTATTATTTTACTTAAAGAAGATATCAAAATTGGTATTTTTCAGAATTCAAGAAAAAAATGATTCTTATTTTATTTTATTTTAAAATGATTAAATACTCATTCTATAAGATTGTAACCTTGGTAACAACAAAACAAAAACATAAAAAAACAATAAATATAATGATAATTACAATATAAGTGTCAGAATATAAAGCAAACAAAGTAGAAAAAAAATTTTTTATGATATGAATTTATATTAAGTTATAAATATGTTGAGGACATATTATTGTAAGTTCATAAAAGTAAATATTCCAAAAATAATATTTTTGATCTTTTAAAGTAAACAATAGAGTAAATATAATTTTTGCATAAAATATAAAAATTCAATATCTAGTTTTCGATTTATCTCTTTTCAATAACTAACTGGAATAAAAAAATTATAATTCTATGTAGGCGTTTGTAAAATAATTCAAAAACGATAATTATTAAACATTTGAACGTACCAAATTGACATATTGATTTTAAAAATAATTATTATTATTTTTTCTTTTTATATTTACCATGGATGGTTACGAGATGTGCAATTGAATTTAATAACTGTTGGGTTAAATACACGTAAAAAAAGATTAGTGAACAATAGAAGTACATACTCTTATTTTCAACAAAATCATCTATATGTATCTCATTATATTTTTAATGTATTATCAACAGAACAAAAATATATTACTTATTTATTTTATAGAAATTCATAAAACATAATCATTCATTGATTTGTAATTTATTAAGTAATATTTATCAGAAGGGCTCGGAAGTTGTAGGAACTAAAAAAAGTAAAATATGCATGAAAAAATTGTAAAATATGCATTAAAAATGTTAAATATGTAAAAAAATTATTCTGAATTCCAAAAATAAAATAAAATATTAGATGTTGTTAATAAATTAATAATATACCTACAGAAAAACTATTTATAACTAAAAAAAAAATGTTTTCATTATTTTTTAAATTACGAAAAAAATACTTGTTTTCAAATACCTGTCATTTTGCATTGAGCAACCAATACTTTATAAAAATTTTCTATTTCAAATGAACGACGATTATTCTATAGAAGATGACTATGGTAATCAGTGGCGTATACAAGGGGGGTGTTTGGTAGATATGACACCCCCCTTGAGCCGTATCATATATTACATTATTATAAGAATATAGGTAAATCGATAATACAATATGAAATATAAAATAATGCGCAATACTAATTACATATATACAGGTTAACATTATCGCGATTGCGACAATACGTGACGAAAATTATTCATTTACGTTTTCGTGCAACACAAAACGTTTAATAATAATAGGTATTATAGCATCGAATACTGATATTCGAATAATTTATAGTGAAGCTATCCGAATTCGAATATACATTACATCTCTATTACAGACATTATGTATACATATTAATTAATTAAAATAAAAGTTTTAGTTTGTACGTATTATATATAATATTTAATAATTATAATTAACACCCCCCTTCAGAAAATTCTAGCTACGCCACTGATAGTAATGACAATAAATACCTTTTTTGATCATTTTGAGTTTTATATTCAATTTTAGTTGAAATATACAAGTTAAGAAAGAAAAAAATCATTTTTTTAGAAAAATATGAAATAATTTTTTTTTTTTTAGTTAAAATTGACCAAATATGCAAAATATGTATTTTCGATTTTCAATTTTTTAACTTAATTGTATATTTCAAATTTCTAGCTAGGTTTGCCATATATTGAGATCATACAGAACAATATGCAATCCCTACAACTTCTGAGCCCTATTTATCATGTTTAAAAATAAATCGAATAAATCATAATACAAGAATTAAAATAGTAAATTATCATTTAATATTTATAAACACTAAAACGAGAATTAGCAATTTTGAGTGAAACCAAAATCGACGAAACTATCAAAGTAAATATTACTAATATAAATTTCATACATCATCCTTAACAGAATGCTGTAGGTTCATAATATGAATAACCAATGTATTATAATAAATTAACTTTTTAAATTTATGAAATTCGCCTTACGATAATGCTTGTATAGTTCTTATCTGTCAATCTCGATCCAAGTTGTACTAAAAATATTCAAAATTTAAATAAATTGGATCTATATACTTTTTAATCAATATTAACGAGTTTTACAAAAAAAAATTAACATAAATTATTTTGAATGACTAAACATTCAATTTTCAATAACTTTTTTTATTATTATTTCAGCCAATTATAAGTTTAAAATTAAATTCGGTTTGTATACTAGAAGTGACTGTTAAACGTGTATCTTATATGCAGTGCTGGAATTGGGAAAAATTGAGTAGAAGAGCTCAGTCCAACGATTTAAAAACTGTTTTCACGTGCGCAATTATTTAACACAGATCCGTGGGGGCTTCCTACCTTAAATATATTTTGAACACCACTTTTCAGCACCACAAAAATTTAAATTTCAAATATTTATATTGATAGTATGAATAACAAACCATACAACGAATAAAATATATACCAGAAATCACTATATATATTTTTTCTGAAATGACGACGCCGTCGCTCATCATAATCACTATATTATATTTTATTATGAAAATATATTTTGCATAGGTACTAAGCGTAAATAGAATTATATTTGCCACACTTTCAAATTAATTTTTACCAATTGTATGTTGTTAAGCGAGAGTCACCAGGTCGACGCGTACTGCGGTTCTATAGCTTATAACCGTGCTACGTAGTTACCAGTCAACCGAACGTAATATCGTCTAACATAGGTTGAGCACTGATAAGTAATAATAAATATTAGCGGAGCTTAATGTACTAATAAACAAATATCGAAAATGTTTTTAATATTATTAATTGTAATATTCGTTATAAAATTGACATAAATTGAAATCCACATTTTAATAAAAATTATTTTTATATTAGTTAGGTTGAACGTTCCAGTGAAAAAATATAGTTAGAGTATGTAAAAAAAAATAGTAGAGGAACTCCGTTCTCCTGCGTACCCCTCTCCCCCAATTCGAGCACTGTTCCTACGTTAAGCATATATTTATATAATTTAATTTTGTACCGAGTTTAAAATGTAAGTATTGTTTTTTATTTTCTGTTTATATATATATTTTTTTTATTAGCTAAAGAGTATTTAAGGTTTTTTTTTATGTAATTACTAAAATAATAATAATAATCATAATAATTATTACACCACGGGGGTGGAAAATCATTTTATTCTACCGCATCGTGATACGAAATTTCAATACTAGATTATTAAATTGGTTTTAAAATGTAACCACAAAAATGATTATTTACAACGGAAATCGTTTTAGTTTTGGCATAAATAATTTTTCTATTTGTTCGGAAGATTAAGAACGA